TAAACTCATTTCCCAGTTTTCTTCTCTGATCATCAAGCTCAGCTTAGTCTGCACTGGCTGTCAATCAGATATGTATCAATAAAGATTGAGGAAAAAAACATGGAAAAAAGTTTAAACAGTCACCCACGAAAACTGAAAGTAAATCTGATAAAAACAAAACTAGAATAACTTCAACTACTTACACGTGTGTCACTTTTATTATTAATAAAATAAAATGAAAATAAAGAGGAAGAGGAGGAGGAGGAGGAGGAGGAGGAGGAAGAGGAGGATGAAGAGGAGGAGGAGGAGGAGGAGGAGGAGGAGGAGGATGAAGAGAGGAGGAGGAGGAGGAGGAGGAGGAAGAGGAGGATGAAGAGGAGGAGGAGGAGGAGGAGGAAGAGGAGAATGAAAGGAGATGAAGAGGAGGATGAAGAGGATGAAGAGGATGAAGAGGAGGATGAAGAGGAGGATGAAGAGGATGAAGAGGAGGATGAAGAGGAGGAGGAAGAGGAGGAGGAAGATGAAGAGGAGGATGAAGAGGAGGAGGAGGATGAAGAGGAGGAGGAGGAGGATGAAGAGGAGGAGGAAGAGGATGAAGAGGAGGAGGAGGAGGATGAAGAGGAGGATGAAGAGGAGGAGGAAGAGGATGAAGAGGAGGAGGAGGAGGATGAAGAGGAGGATGAAGAGGAGGATGAAGAGGAGGATGAAGAGGATGAAGAGGAGGATGAAGAGGAGGATGAAGAGGATGAAGAGGAGGAGGAAGAGGAGGATGAAGAGGAGGATGAAGAGGAGGGTGAAGAGGAGGATGAAGAGGATGATGAAGAGGATGATGAAGAGGATGAAGAGGAGGAGGAAGAGGATGATGAAGAGGAGGATGAAGAGGATGATGAAGAGGAGGAGGAGGAGGATGAAGAGGAGGAGGAGGAGGATGAAGAGGAGGAGGAGGAGGATGAAGAGGAGGATGAAGAGGAGGATGAAGAGGATGAAGAGGATGATGAAGAGGAGGAGGAGGAGGATGAAGAGGATGATGAAGAGGAGGAGGAGGAGGATGAAGAGGAGGATGAAGAGGAGGATGAAGAGGAGGATGAAGAGGATGAAGAGGATGAAGAGGAGGACTGTGTGCATTAAACCTGTAAGTTAACACTTCATGATAAAGTCCTTCTGCTCTGTGTTCAGGCCTGCTCTCTGAATATTAGGGTGCAGTATTGGGTTACAGTATATACTGTATATACAGTATACACAGTATATACAGTATATACTGTATACACAGTATACACAGTATATACAGTATATACAGTATACACAGTATACACAGTATACACAGTATATACAGTATATACAGTATATACAGTATATACAGTATACACAGTATACACAGTATACACAGTATACAGTATATACAGTATACACAGTATATACAGTATACAGCTGAGGTTCAGTTGGTAGTCGGTCGTCTCTCAAACGGAAGGTCGAGGGTTCAATTCCCAGCTCCTGCAGCCACATGTCCGATGTGTCTGATCGGACGAGACACTTGACTCCAAGTTGCTCCCTCTGCTTTGTCAGCGGAGTGTGAATGTGTACATTGATTTGTTGGACTCTTTAAACAGGAGGCCTCAGGACTTTGAGTGTCCTGACTTTTCTGTTTTCTTCGTTGTCTTTTTGCACTTCACACAGCAGCCGCTACCATCAGTGTGTGAGTGTGTAGGTGTGACCTGCGGACTAAAAGTGCTTGAGTAGAAGACTAGAAAAGTGTATACCATCTCAAGTCCATTTACCATTCCTTATTTTCAGTAGCCTATGAAATGTAGGCCCTGCGAGTCTTGGGAGAGACATTGTCCAAGACGACTCTTGACTTTGAGAGCAAGGCCTTCCATTTTAAATGTTGCTGTGTCATGATCGTGAGAGAGCAGCAGGGCCATGACAATCTGAAATATTCTTACAGTTTATAAACTCTCTCCACGCAGCCTTCCATGATAACTTTGCCTTCTTGGGCAGTTTGTAGCTTTTAGTGTAAGACTGTGTATCTTGTCATTACGTCACACATCATCCTCTGCTGATTTTTACAACTCATCTTTTTCTGCTCCATGTATCATATGTTTTTGATAACGAACTTTTGAGAATGTATCCTCTTCAAATTTGAGCTGTCATTTCTGGGAACTGAATGTTGAAGCTTGAGCATTATCCAACAACAACGCTTTACATGACGGAGGGACCAGGGACAGGAGAACGATGGAGAGGTGGAGTTAAAGAGGACATATCACCCCCCTCCTCCACCTTTTCAAACAGTCCCCTCCTCCACCTTTTCAAACAGTCCTCCTCCACCTTTTCAAACAGTCCCCTCCTCCACCTTTTCAAACTGTCCTCCTCCTCCACCTTTTCAAACTGTCCCCTCCTCCACCTTTTCAAACTGTCCTCCTCCTCCACCTTTTCAAACTGTCCCCTCCTCCACCTTTTCAAACTGTCCTCCTCCTCCACCTTTTCAAACAGTCCTCCTCCTCCACCTTTTCAAACAGTCCCCTCCTCCACCTTTTCAAACTGTCCTCCTCCTCCACCTTTTCAAACAGTCCCCTCCTCCACCTTTTCAAACAGACCTCCTCCTCCACCTTTTCAAACAGTCCCCCCTCCACCTTTTCAAACAGTCCCCTCCTCCACCTTTTCAAACAGTCCTCCTCCATCTTTTCAAACAGTCCTCCTCCTCCACCTTTTCAAACAGTCCTCCTCCTCCACCTTTTCAAACAGTCCCCTCCTCCACCTTTTCAAACAGTCCCCTCCTCCACCTTTTCAAACAGTCCTCCTCCTCCACCTTTTCAAACAGTCCTCCTCCTCCACCTTTTCAAACAGTCCTCCTCCACCTTTTCAAACAGTCCTCCTCCACCTTTTCAAACAGTCCTCCTCCTCCACCTTTTCAAACAGTCCTCCTCCACCTTTTCAAAAAGTCCTCCTCCACCTTTTCAAACAGTCCTCCTCCTCCACCTTTTCAAACAGTCCTCCTCCATCTTTTCAAACAGTCCCTCCTCCACCTTTTCAAACAGTCCCCTCCTCCACCTTTTCAAACAGTCCCCTCCTCCACCTTTTCAAACAGTCCCCTCCTCCACCTTTTCAAACAGTCCTCCTCCACCTTTTCAAACAGTCCCCTCCTCCACCTTTTCAAACAGTCCCCTCCTCCATCTTTTCAAACAGTCCTCCTCCTCCACCTTTTCAAACAGTCCTCCTCCATCTTTTCAAACAGTCCCCTCCTCCACCTTTTCAAACAGTCCTCCTCCACCTTTTCAAACAGTCCCCTCCTCCTTTTCAAACAGTCCTCCTCCTCCACCTTTTCAAACAGTCCTCCTCCTCCATCTTTTCAAACAGTCCTCCTCCTCCATCTTTTCAAACAGTCCTCCTCCTCCACCTTTTCAAACAGTCCTCCTCCACCTTTTCAAACAGTCCTCCTCCTCCACCTTTTCAAACAGTCCCCTCCTCCTTTTCAAACAGTCCTCCTCCTCCACCTTTTCAAACAGTCCCCTCCTCCATCTTTTCAAACAGTCCTCCTCCACCTTTTCAAACAGCCCCCTCCTCCACCTTTTCAAACAGTCCTCCTCCTCCACCTTTTCAAACAGTCCTCCTCCTCCACCTTTTCAAACAGCCCCCTCCTCCACCTTTTCAAACAGTCCTCCTCCTCCACCTTTTCAAACAGTCCCCTCCTCCACCTTTTCAAACAGCCCCCTCCTCCACCTTTTCAAACAGTCCTCCTCCTCCACCTTTTCAAACAGTCCCCTCCTCCACCTTTTCAAATAGTCCTCCTCCTCCACCTTTTCAGACAGCCCCCTCCTCCACCTTTTCAAACAGTCCCCTCCTCCACCTTTTCAAACAGTCCCCCTGTGGTCTAAATGAAACATCTGTTCTGTGTTTTGTTCAAAATCTAACATGAATCAAGCACCAGAGGAGGTTTGTGACCCTGTATAAACCAGCTCTCTCAGAACGCTCCGTTTTGGATGTGTGTGTCTCTTTAAACGTAATGAACCCATCTTATCCCATCTGTCCCCTTATCCCTTTCCAAGCCCGGTGCAGTCTAGACCTGTGAAGGTTGTTTCTTCATGAGCTGGGGATCCAGCCGAAGATTTCTGCCTTTTAATAAGAAAGTTTTTTCTTACCACTGTAACTTTTGCTGCTTTACTAAAGTGCTCATGATGGAGAGGCCAGATCTTTGTAATATAGCAATAAGTTATGGGGCGCCGATTGTAAAGTTGTGCACACTACAAATAACAACAACATTTCTCCACATTTAGCCCTAAAAAATCACTTTTTATTCATATTTAGAGAAATATTTGTGAACTTTGTCATATTTACTTTTGTGAATAAAAATGTAAGATCATTTCATTGGAAAATATAAATGTTAAATATTATATCTAAATGTTGAATGTTTTATCTACATGTTAAATGTTATATATAAATGTTAAAAATACATGTCCTGATTCTAAATATTTAGCTACGTTTCTAAACATTTAGTTTACATTCTAAATATTTAGCTTTGATCCTATATATTTAGCTAAGATTGTAAATATTTAGAATCAAAGCTAAATATATAGAATATAAACTAAATATTTAGCAACGACTTTTAAATATTTAGCTAAGATTTCTAAATATTTAGCAACGACTTCTAAATATTTAGCTAATATGCAAATTGAAAAAGGCTGAGGAGAACAGACGGTGGGTGTCTGAGAAGTCTTTAGAATGAGTCCAAAGATCGGGCATTGTGGATGTCTAAGGGGAGGGTGTTCCAGAGGGTGGGTTCGGCTCTGACAGTGAAGGCCCTGTCTCCTAGGTGGTGGTAATGACAGCAGGCCAGTGTCTGAGGACCAGAGGTTTCAGGACATGGTGTGTGGGTGTGAAGGGATTAATGACTTTTAATTTAACAAAGGGGACACATATATAACCTTCATCACAATTATTATACCACCAACTTTAATTTTAAACATTTTTTAAACTGAAATACAAACAGTAATGCTTTATTTGAGGAGCATAAACAGAATAAAATCCTCTCACTGCAGCTTCAGAGTCCGCCTCGTGTTGGATGTGGTCTCTGGGTGGTTTCTGATGCTCACTCTACAAAGCAGGTACCTCTTCACATACTTCCTGAACATCTGGTCTCGTAGTCCGTAGACGATGGGGCTGAGGAAGCGTGGTAGGATCTGCACGATGACGTAGCAGGCGAAGCGTACGGCCAGGTGCTGACTGGGCAGAATGTAGAGGAGACCCTGTTCAAACATGGGTCTGACGTACGTGAGCATACACAGCAGCAGCTGTAGACCGTGCAGCAGGATCGTGTTTCTGGCTTTTTTAATGCCTAAAGTTGCTCCTTTGGCAGCGAACAGAATCCTGAAATAAGTGTAGAAGAGTATGAGCCAAACGAAGGTGAGACAAACGATGTGCGACGCGTCCCTTTTTTGTAAACTGTACGTGCTTCTGAACACAAAATCTCTGGCACAAAACTGCCTGGAGAGAAAAAACTGAGGCTGCTCCGTGGCGAGCAGGATGAAGAGGTCCGGCAGGATGGAGAAAGAACTCACGACCCAGATCAGACCGATCAGGATGTAGGTTTTCTTCACCGTGCAGATGTGGGCGTGGCGGAGGGGGATACAGACGGCGATGTAGCACTCCACCGCCATGCCGGCCAGATTGAGCGGCGTGTTGAGGGTGGCGAGGATGGTGATGATGAGCAGGACGATGCAGAAGGACACGTTGATGGTGTACAGGGCGTAGCTGATGATGTGGAGGAGGGTGGACAGGATCAGCTGCATCATGTCGTTTAGCACCAGGTGGATGAAGAGGATGTAACGAGGGTTTGAAGTGAAGATCTGGAGGAGAGTGAACATCATTTACTTAAAGGACCAATCAGTGAGATGTGTAGTGAGCTAAATATAAAGTGACCTCACTGTATGATCAGACATTAAGGAAACATGTTATGTTGAAGTACGATTGTCCCCAGGGTCCAAAATTATTTTTTTGACTCACCGGCCAAAATAACAAATTGTGTTTTTGTGTCCCATACACATCTGTTACAGCACATTTCATTGAGAAGTCACAGTTTCGATCATTTCATCAAATCAGGAAATTAAGAAATTGTAAAAAATATATTTGCTGGCCTTTATTTTTTTTCTTAGTGTATTATTTGTAGGCAGTAGCATTTGGCGCTTGGCGGCTGTTAATTTCGGACCCTGGTTGTCCCCCCTCCCCAATCCCCCGCCGGCCTGCACTCACACTGCTCCAGGACTAACCGGGCCTGAGCGTCGTAACACAACACATGCATGACTTTATCATGAAGCGTGCTGAGAGACAAGACAGACAAACTAAAAAAAAAAGAAGAAAAAAAAAAAGGGACGCACAGTCAAGTCTGCTTCAGCACATTAGAGAACAAAAACAGAGATTCAGGGATTTCTCGGTAATTGAAGGCTGGGCTGCAGCACATCTCTTCCAACAGCGCCAGGGCCAAGCAAGTGAGAACGAAGAACTCCCACCAGTCAAACCAAATGGACTTTGGGGGTCAAGCACCCTTTGGCTGGGCATGCTACAGAATGCCTTGTGTGAGTGTGCACTGACTGAATACAGATTTAAAAGGTTTCTATAGAAAAATAACTGAATTCATAAAATAAAACATCAAGTTTAAAGTTCCTTCAGATTCTTCATCAACTTTTTGTCTTACTTTTCTGCAGATCTTTTTCTGCTGATTCATCAGTTTGCTAAAATGATTCATGACCAGCTCATATCAAACATGTTTGCTAATGAAGATCGGATATTAACCTCAAATTAATGATCAAAGCTAACTTCTTAGATGTTCAGCATTTCTGTAAATGAAATCATAAATCTGATCATGTCTAGCTGAAATAAGTCAAATAAATCACAAGCTTCATGACACATTTTCAGTGTTTAAATAATAAGAAAATAATATTCATATCACCTTATGATGCCAAATACCTGACAGAAACATTCTATCTTTACTGCAGACTTTTTGATGCTTTAACTCAGGGTCTTAGGGTAGATTTTCCTTTCTAAAAAAAGTGAGCAAATATTTTTGTTATCATTTCTCAATTTCCTGATCTGATCAAATTATCCAATCCATAACTTAAATCTGTGACTCATCAGAACACAATTCCTTCAGAACTCAAAACAATTGTGAGTGCGACACAAAAACACAATTTGTTATTTCAGCCGGTAAATTATGTGCTTGGCCCGAGAATTATTTCATCTACCCGCCACCTTGGCCGGTGAGTGAAAACTTTATTTTCTGACCCTACTTTAACTTCAGTTTGTTTCATTTATTCCTAATCTGCTGATTTCTAAACTATTCTAACAGGACGCATTTAATCATTTACTCATGTTTCGCTCATGATTATTGGCTATTTACCTCAGATAAACGATAAACTGCATCAATCAAACAGAAGCTTTAAGACACATTTGTCGTATTTATGACTAAAATATGAAAATAAAAACATGTTTATTTAACTGGATGATGCTAATACATAATGTTGATTCTACTGCAGATGTTTCTTATTCTCATCCTTGTCTTTAACACAACCTGCCGATAGCTTTCCTATTTAAACAAGGGAATGGAAGTCCTTCCCTTTTATCATCTTTATATTTTCAAGTTAACAACAAAGTAAGAGAGAAGACAGAGAGGGAGGCAGACAGACAGATGGAGCCTGTTTGACATGTTTCATACCTGGTGCTTCCTGAAGGTGTGCACCAGCGTACCGTTGATGTAGTTGATGCAGATGCAGAGCGCTGTGACGATCACATTCTTGGTCACAGCGGTGGTGAACATGTCCCGCTGGTTTCCACCCGCAGGCAAAGAGGTGTTCAGGGATGAGAAATTCATGTCTGAAATGTTGCCAAATCTGAGCCGTCTGAATCATTTGCTGTTTCAGGATGACACAAGCATCAACAAACATTCAGAATGAAACATTCAGAAAACTCTGCAAAGAGACTCACAGATCCTCTGAACACATTCTTGTCTTCTAAATCTGAGATTCCTCTAAAACACAAGTATGATCTGAGAAATGTAATCAGCTACTGCATGTCAGCTTTAGCATCGCTCCTCAGCTGACCTTTAACTCCATGTGAAGAGCTTTCTGTACATTACTGAAATGGAGGCTCTGATTAAACACTCTATCAGTACAGGAGTGACAGAAACTACAACTCAGCAATATTCCTCCATCATTAACCCTTAACTGAATGAAGAACATACAGTAATCTAACACAATGACAAACACATCATCACAGTTTCCCCCTCAGTCTAAAGCAGAAATAACAGGAATCAGGACACGAGTGTACGTACCAGCAGGATGCCCCTCACCGCCCTGCTGCTCCTCTGTGGAGGCAGAGAGTTTATATACTCAGAGTGAAGACATTTGGGATTATGTTGTTGACCGATTTTGTGTGTGAGGGTGTGGATAGGGATGATCATTCTCTGGATTTATTGACCTGAAAAGTTGACAAACGCTTCCCTGTTCGTTTTCAATTAAATCAATTATCTTCATTAGCTTTTGATTATGTCATGACTTCTTTTTATCGTCTGTTGACCTTGTGTCTCTGCTGATCAGTACAGCAATGTGCTCAGATCATGTTTTTTTAAATTAAATCGGCTTCACGTGACCTCAGGAGAGCTCAAGGCTTCTGCTCTGCTTTTTCCATCTGATTGTTCAGTTGTTCACAGTTGATCACACAGGTGGTATATCATCAGATTTTTACCAGTGCTGTCAATCGATAAACAAATTAACGTGTGGATACTCATGTTTAATTTTCATAAAGTTTCAAAATACTGAAAAGATGCCACATATATGTTTAAAGAAAACTTTTAGCAGCCTGTTGCAACAGAGCCCAAATAACTGATTTAGGATTTACTTCTGGCTTTATCAGATTTCAATTGGGGCCCTGCAGGCCACTCTCAAGTATTTTCTAGTTTGATCCAGCAGAGGGCGCTCAACTTGACCATGACATGCACTCTTGACCTCAGTAAGTGAAGACAGTAATGTTGTGGCAAAAGCAACGGGTTGATTGGGAGATGCAGACTGACATGAGGGAGACTCGTCTGTATGCAGACAACTCTCCAAGCTGGCTCACAAATATTAGTGTGCACCAGTAACGTCAGTGAACTCTGAACAGGTGTTCCCATCAGCAGGTTAGACGTTCGAGGTTAGTAAATAAAAATAGAGCTGCACTTGATCCTCATCGAATTATTTTTTGTTGCTGGCGAATAATTTTAAAGGTCTTGTATTATGCAAAATCTTCTTCACCATGTTTATCTAACCAAGTCCGTTTACAAACTCCCCAATGATGAGAAAAGTCCATCCTCTCCGTCTTCTGCCTGCTCAACTTTTCAGAAAATGTGTGCTCAAACAGGCCGTTTGGAGATTTTCCCGTCATGACATCACAAAGGGCAGTAATTAAATGAATTTAAAGGAGAGTTAAAGGAGCAACACGTAGTGTTTAAAACAGGGACTGCAGTCTAAATTCTAAACATTGTAGAGAGCTGTCCCCCCCCCCCCCCCCTCTAGAGTGGATGCTCACTCAGGTCACCATGTGGTGGACTCTGAAGCTTCAGTGTTTATCCAGCTCTGCATGGGTCTGTAAACCTTTCTGTGTTCTAACCTCTCTCCATTTTTCAAAAGCATCTCCAATATTGATCCTAGTTTGAGCACGTTTCTGCTCGTGGAGCTTATTAGAAACATGCTGCTTGTTAGTACGTATGTTCAGGGATTCATTCATCTTGATAATTTTGTGGACATATCTTTAAATTGCATCAACCATCTCACAGTAATTCTACTTTTGGGTCTGTCAAGCTGTAACCTTATATGGGTGAAGCACCTAAGTAGTAGCAGATCTATAAATGGAGAGGAGCCAACTATATGTTGTCAGCAACTGTTTGCTAGACAGAGAGTCTACATCTGTTACGTATACAAATCAGTGTCATGTCATCTTTATTGTTTTATAGTGATGTACCCAAATGGGAAGGAATTTGTGGGCTGTACCTTCTAGCAGAATATAAGCAACACTGTGTGATGAAGACTATGCCACTTGGCCACTTGCCATTTTGCCATTTTGCCCATGATGGCCACTTTGCCAATGATTGTCAATGATTGTGAGATCTTGGTCAGCATGGGTCAGCGATGGTCTGCACTTTGTCAGCCATGTGTGTTGTGTTTCTGTGTTGTCTGACCATGGCTGAATAAATCTAAGATGATCCACAGTCTGTTTCACGTTTTCATAATTGTCCATCTCATACAGAAATAACCCCCACCTAACACAGAGGCTTTTTAGGTCGGGTACAATCACTTCTATCTGAACCACTTCTCTTGCCCGCTTCCATCGCTGCAACACCTGTTGACCTGATAACTGCTCTCATATCTGACAAACTGAGGGTGTCCAAAACGGCTGTGTGGGGGCGTGTCTTAAAAGCGCCTACCTTCTCTGGTCCAAACAAATCCAGAGCATTCAGGAGCAGAATCTAAAGTTAGAAGGAGGACATACTGGCTGCTGCATTGTTGTCAGAGAAGCCAGCACTTCAACATAGCATGTTTCCTTAATGATCAGAGAGTAAGATACCTTTATCATCTCACTCTCTACACATCTCACTGATTGGACCTTAAATGTAAACAAGACTTACATTTCCTGCTCATGTTAGATTTTACATTTCAGGTTGAAAAGAAGGAAACAGCTTCTTGTTGGATTAACACGATTTTGAGATTAAAGCCACAACTTGAAAAAGGAAAAAAATCAAACTTCAACTGAACATGTGGTTCATTTTTTATTTGTTGCAGCATCACAGTCCATTTGAAAACAGCTTTGAAACCACAAAGGGTGTTGAAGAAAAGTGTGATTAAAGCAGGCTTCTCTTTTTGTTTTTAATGCACAGTGTCAGATCAGATCAGTTCATCCATCAATCCATTATCTATACCGCTTCATCCCATCCGGGGTCGCAGGGGGTTTGAAGCCAATCCCAGCTGTCATTGGGCGAGAGGCGGGATACACCCTGGACTGTTCAGAAGTCAATAGGTTCAGTTCATATCAAATCAATTTAAATTGATTTAAACATGTAAAACAGAGGACAGACAGAAAATTATCATTCAATAAATGTCTGCAGACATGGAAGACATGTCTGGAGTGGGAGGTAGAGATGCACCGATACCAATATTCGAAATAATAATTTAGCCGATTACCGACTTCTCTTGTTGTCAGACTCCCACAATGCCTCCTTTTTCTCTGAAGTATGACGATGAAAAAACAAGTCAGAGTTTGCCAAATAAGTGACTTCATCATCTGCTCAATAAAGAACCTCGTCTCTGAATGAATAGTTAGGTGTACAAGATGTCAGAATTTAATCAACATCGGCGAGTGACATCAGGTCATGCCATGTTATTTGATGTCTGTCAACAGGGCCGATATCGGCTGATACCGATGTTGAACCCATACATCGGTGCACCCCTAGTGGGCAGAAGGTTAAATGACCAAAGTCTATCCCAGCAGATTATATAATGAACTCTAGCTTATTAATGATTTTATTTTAGCTGCAGGCGGGGGTTGATGCTTCGTCTCACTGAACACAGAATGTACATTTTCAAATGCTGTCTGAACATCTTGTCTCGTAGGCCGTACACGATGGGACTGATGAACCGGGGAAGGATCTGGATAATGATGTAGGACACAAAGAGTACATGCACATAATATTTAGGAAACCAGGTCAACAGAGCCTTTTTGAACACATGACCTACAAAGGTTAGCATAGCCAACAGCAGCTGGAAACCATGGAGCAGGATTGTATTCCTGGCCTTCTTTGCATCTCCATCAGCTCCTTTAGCCGCTGTGAAGATCATAAAGTACGTGTAGAAGAGTGTGAGCCAAACACCAATCAGGTATATGATGTAAACATCCTTCTTTTGCACATGTATGCGATGTGTGAACAGGTTGTCCTTCTCACAGAAAATGGCCGAATGAAACACCTGCACAGGCTCAGTTGCCAGAAAGATGAAGACGTCGAGCAGTGTAGTGACGGCACTCAGGGCCCAAATCCCACCAATCAGAGCATATGTTCTTCTGATAGTACACAACTCAGCGTGTCTCAGAGGTAAACAAACAGCGATGTAGCACTCCATCGCCATGACGGCTAAATTTAGTGGAGTGTTGACAGTGGTGAAGACAGCCATCGTTACGATGAGGCAGCAGAGTGAAGCATTAATTCTGTAGAAGATATAACTTAAGACAAACAGGCTTATTGTTGTAGTGAGCTGGATCATATCGTTCACCACCAGGTGGATGAAGAGGATGTAACGGGGATTCATGTAGAATACCTAAAGGAGAGAAGAAGACAAAAGTTATCCAGGCCATCCTGCACGCTCAGTGACCAAAGAGCCCCGCCCCCTCCTCGTGTCAGAGTGGGTGTCGGTGTTTACAATCATGGGCTTTGTGCTGAAATGCTTTAGCTCGGTGTCACTTGAGCCCAGGGCAGCGCGGTTAGCATCTCCATTTCAGCAGTTCTACCTGCTGAAGGTGTTTCACCTGATGTCTCGTTGTCTTCAGTCCAAGATGATTTAAAGTAACGGGCTGTGGCGGTGACTTGTTGTCAAAGGAGCAGCTGTAAATGCTGTTGCTCCCGACAGAGTAATAGAAAATCAACAAATTCTTTCCATGAAAGACCCTATTTACTATCTTTGAAATGCTTTTATTTTGAAGCAGCCGGACCAGGAAATAGGATGTTTTCAGCAGGAGCTACTTAAAAAACTCAGAAAGTACAAACACAGGAGAGAAACAAAACTCCTATAGGCGCCATAATGCGTATTTTTACCTCAGTTGATTATTTGTTATGTTATGCTCCTTTATATGGGTTTGATAGGATTTCCGGTAATTAGAAGTGGGCGTGGCTTACCTTATTTTTACCTGTGCATTAGGGGTGAGGGGAGACTAGACAAAAAGAGTGAGTGGGTCTGAAATATTTCCTGTTGACTGTCATCATCATCATCTTTTGGACTTTTCGTTTAGAAATAGTTTTTCCCTGTTTTCTTTAATGAAGCTACAAACATATCTGAATGTCTTCACCTTAGTCTCTGTGTGACATTATCCAATCTAAGCTGCCACAGTAACTCCAAACCCCACAGCTTCAGTAAGAAGCTAACACACAGAGACATGTTTCTCTGGTCTAACTACCTGAACACATAATAAACTCTTTCTGTTTACGAGCCAGACAAACAGCATGTCAGTATATAGCTCAAACATTTCACTTCATAAAACAGCCTCATTCTTGAATACTATAGGCTTGATTATGAAATAATATGTTCTTACACAATACTGCTGAACATAAAGTGGCTGATTTAAATAAAAAAAAGAGTAGCTGGTAGATTTCTGAATCCACCAGTCACGGTGGCAGGTAGATAGAAAAGGTCATTTCCAACCCCGATGTTGAAGCAGAGGTGGACTGATCAGAGAGAGCGGGACATGTTTCCCCTGCACCTTAAGGGCTCACAGGACAATAAAGACAGCAGTGATGACAAATGAAAATGTCTAGGTCTGCAACATGGTGCATTCAGTGTTCTCTGTCTCTTTGCATGAAAGACCTCAGTTAAAAGCCAGAACAATACAGATAACCTTCAGAGTAGAGATGGGACCGATCCGATCTTATATCGGTATCTGGTCCAATATTGAAGTCATTTATGTATCAGATATGGGACTGACTGCACCGATCAACATCACTGATCAAGAAATATGGTCGGGCTCTTCAGACATTCTCAGCTCACTGAGTCTCACTTTGAAGATATTCAGACTGAACTGAGAGAAGTGTCCACAAACCGTCTCCATGACGACGATCAGATGAGATGGAACCGCTCCTTCTTTATGTTAAGTACACATTTTACACTTCAGTTAAAAAGATTTAATTTGAAAAACTTGACAGCTGTTGCTACTTCCTGTTTGTATGTCAAGCCAGCACAATGCAACGAACTGCTGGGTTTACTCCAGCTTTGTGTAGCCTCACACATAATACCAAAAACAACTGTTGGAGCCATGGATTGGTGTAATTGTCTTATAGTAATAGTAATGATATAAGATATCAGAATCAGAATCAGATTGGAACTGAAAACATGTGGATCTCTATTTCAGACAACTAGCATAAATCTTCAGCTGAATTTTCACACCCAAAAAGATTGATTCCTCAAATCTCTATACGAGTCAAAAACCATCCTCAGTTTACACTAAAATCACAAACAACAACAACAATCTCAGTGAGGAGTGCTTTCCATCTTTTAATCTCTGAGGCCTCCTTTAGGTCTCGACTAAGACAGTCTGTTTTATCTTTAAATAGACCTGCTTGCTGTAGATTTATTCTTATGCACTTGAAAAAGGCCACTCCAGAAATAAGTTAAAAAAAATTAATACAAGATATTTTTTGCTTGTAATAAGCAAAAAAATCTGCCAGTGGAACAAGTGAAAATTCACTTGATAAGATATCTTGAAATAAGACATTAGATTTAAGCTTTACAAGATAGGAGAGATCTTGAAAATAGCTGGGAAAACTCATTCTTAGCCATATTTTTCAAGTATTATGACGTTTTGTGTCTCATAATAAGCTTAGAATGCTCAAAATTTGTATTTTTCCTCTCAAAAGTAGCATGTTGTCCTCTTCGTTTGAAGTCTATTAAACTCATTTTTAGTTCTATAATAGTGACACTGTTCTAGATTTAAGTCCACAACCGACTTGACATAAGATTAGAAATTGGCATTTTGAGACAAAATGTCTTGAAGTTAGCATTGCTTACTAGTATTAGGCATTGCTTTTTTTGCCATAATTTTCCAACCCGTAATCATTTCAAGTGTATCTACCTTATTGTAAGCTCTACAATAGTAATACTGTTCTAGATTCAAGACATTCAAATACTTCTTACAAAACAGAAAAAATGAAAACTAGTTTTGCATTAATCCAACACATTTATTTTGTGTTTATACAGCAAAAAGTCCCATAAACTGAGGACTACATAAAGAAAGACATTTTCTTTTTATAAACATTTTGGCTCATTGTGTGTATGGAACTGCAATATGTAAACATAGCAGAACAGTCCAAATATGTGAGCGAGTAGTTACGGTCGGATCCAAACATCTGACCCATGAGCCCCTCAAGACAAACTACTAGGCACACAAACTGCTCAGCCTCTGACATCCATTCTTAATACTAAGTGCTTATTATTGTAACATTCAAACTAAAAGGTTTCAATTACCATGAACATGTGACCAACTTGTCCCCGATACGCCAATGACCATTGTATTATTATTACTATTAAGCATGCACGATAATGGATTTTTTCCAATATCAGCTATGCTAACATTTTACAACTCAACTGGCCAATAACAGATACCGCTATGTTCAATTTTATCCCAACCTAAGTCAGTTAACACTTTCACATTAGAAAAGCCTAAATTAGCAACATCTGTTGAACAGACTGTTGCTAAATCTCAACATTAACTTAAAACTTGAAATGAACTTAAAGATAGGCACGACTGGACTGCATTGTTCAAACTAAACAAGATATGCAGTTTCAGTCTGTAAAGATATAACATTAACCTTGTGCATTTAATCACAGAATAAACAACACTATATTTTTATCAGTTCGATATAACGGTGGATATCGGCATGTTGGTTGACATTGTCCTGTGCCCCTTATTAACACGGGGATAAATTCCAACCAAGAATCAAAAGCAATGAATGTGGACTGTAGTAGCCTTGTAGGGAGAGAGGAAGCACTTCTGACCACATCCACATCTGACCACTGGTTTTATTGGCCAATAAAAGCTCTCCACTCAGCCATGCTCTTCTTGTAAGATGATGTGAGATCTCTCTCATGACTTTTGTCCAAGAGGACCTCCATCTGTATGACTGAAAGCAGAGTGGCTACACACTTTGGGTACGTAAGGTGTAGTGTATAATAGTACGCCAAGAGGTATAAAGCACCCTCAGTAACTTTGTCTTTTGGAAACGTAGTTATTGGCACATCTCCTACCGCTAGGAGGCAGTTGGACGGACTCACAATCAGGACCGGACAGGAGAGAGGGCGCTTCTTCAAGTAGACATTAGGGTCTTCTTTTTCCTTTAACACACAACACAGACATCATTCTATAAGGATAATGCACTTCTGTTTCAAGGATCATTTTGGTATTTTGTAACCAGTACCCTCTGTAGTGTTTACAGCCTGAAGTGAAAACCAAGGCTAGGCTAGTCTTGCTTTTATTAGGGTGATAAAATCTGCTACCATGTGATGCATCCATTTTTGTACATATTGTGACATTGAGAGTCACAGACATGTAACCAGTGAAAATCATCTTTCCAAAAACAAGGCTTAGAACATACCGTATAGGAACAGAATCGTCAAAGGCATCACTTTCAGTTCTAATTTTTTTAATACTGCAACATTTTACACAGCTCACCTCAAGGACATGCGCCAGAGCCTCACTTGCATCCCGTACTCTCTTTGGAGGAGCAGACATGGAGGGGAACAGTGATGGCAGCACACGTAGGATCTCAAGAGCCTGTTCAGCTGTAAAGGAAAACATTCATTACTTGACAAAGTGCACATTGTCAAATCTGATTAAAGATATATAATCGATACAGTGCTTTAAAAAACAAACATTCAGCAAGTGACGGGATAGCCATCATAGATGAAAAAGGATGACAAGACACTAGTACATCTACTTGACAATTAACATACCTGAAGGTCCACCCTAAATACTGATCACTACACCAAACACCAAAACATCATTTCTTACCTTGGTCCATTCCCATTGAGGGTTTCAGCATCTTTTTCCATACACCGAAAAACTGCACCTTCTGGCAGAAGTCACACCCTTCCCTTCAGTTCATCGATGAAGCTGCCATTATCCCTATCCAAAATGCGTTGAAGCTCCTCCATCACCTATTAAATATACCAATACAGACGTTTGAATGTATCACTTAGGAGGAGGAAATTGGTATATTAAACATTATGGTTGTCATCATCATGCAGTCATTTCTGACTTACATGTCCAATGTCCTTGAAACAAGGATATGCTTCTAGAACTTTATCGTGTCTGTCCTCCTCGCGAATGGTATTTGAATCAATGAATGCTCTTCTAGCTACAAATTCCAAATCCAGGAGATGAGAGACATCTTGGTGGTTTGGATTTTTTCTTTTATACAATGTTTGTAGGGTCTTGTAGTGCTTGGCCAGGGTTGCTGGACTGGAAGTGTCTGGACTGTCAATATCTGCAGGCTTGTTTGCTGGAAGATACAAAAATACCTAATCAATGTGCCTCACTTTAAAAAACTTCATCT